GGAACTTGCTGAGCAGCAATTCCTCCCAGGTAATGATCTCTGTAGTCAGTGAGACACCATCTCTAAAAGTGAGATGCAGTGATAAAGGGCAAGCACCCTACATTGGCTTTTGGTACCCATATACATATACAACCATGATAACACATGTGACACCTCCTCCCTCCCCCCAAAAATAGATGTACAGGGTAGTATTTTGGAAGACAGAGCTATCTTATGACAGTTCTGGGTCCCTTGATTGTCATCAACTAGAGCAATTGCTATAAAATCAAAACATAAACTTCTAGATAATGAATTAACCAATCATATTCAAGTTTACCAGCCTGCCATTCTAATGTTCAAGATAAGAATTGAAGCTGCATTGGGACTCCAAAATATCTGTGCTGTTCTAGATCTACACTAATTTATTAATTTATAAATTGTATTTCTTAAACAGTTTCAGTAGACCTTGTAATTATATAAGAATCAAATATTATAGCATTTAAAATCTGAAGTAAAAGTTCAAAATTAACAAAAATACAACTAGAATTGTGCTTTGTTTTCTTTAAGGTTTAATGCATGTGCACAATAAACTCGTGGATCCACTGTACAGTATGAGAGAAGAAAACTGATGGAGACTGCAGCAGCAAAATTCTGCTTGGAAAAGGAAACTTTTCTTACTAGAATTTCAGCTTATGCAATATGATAAAAATGGGGAAATATAAAGACATTGAAAAAGAAAAGAACAGTGTGTGTTAAACATTCCATATTTAGAATGTGTGTTTTACACCAGAGCCTAGAACTAAGTCAACCCCCAAACTGGTTGGCTGTTAAAAAGTACAGAAGCTATATAGCTACCTATAAACAGCAAAGCAGCGAAATGTCTGCATTTTAAGAGATTCTACACATCAGGTACTGTATGACAATCTCTTTGACTTACTTACAAGAAGGCGCTCCAACCTGTTCCAGTATCATAAAAGCCTTCACTTTTGGAATGTCTATTCTTTGTGCATCACACATGCTTTTTGCCTGTAGTTGCCTTAGTCATCTTTCCGCAGTAGCATCTGGACATCAGTAGTCCTGCTATTCATTAATCAAGGAAATCTGAAGAGATGACACTGTCCCAAAGTAGTTTACATCCTTTCAGAAAGTATCTGTAAGTGCATGCTTTTATGCACCTTCTTATGTAGTACTTTTTTACAGATATGCTTATTTTTATTTAAAGACCTAGGTCAATGCCCTTAATAAAGAAGTATATTGGCAACTATGAGCTTTATACCTAGCTATAAATTTAAAAAAAAAAAATCCTTTTGAAGAACATTTTCTGATTATTGTTAAATTTTATAAATAATCCTTATATATGTCTAAAGAGAAAAATACTGTAAACCTTTAAATTGCAAAAACTTGTATAATTAAGCTGCAAATAAAAATATTGTTTTCTATCTTTAACTCAAAATTTACAATAAAACAAGTATCTACTTTTTGTTTCTAAAAGTGAAGTAACATTCACTGGGAGATTCAATCAGTTCGTGGTACCCATGACATGGATTTGCTTCTGATTTGCCATCATGTAGTTAAGAAACTGAAGAGACAATACCTAAGAAGAAGTAAAAAAATGGAGGCTGGAGAGATGGCTCACCAATTGAGAGCACTTACTGTTTTTGCAGAGGACCAGAGTTCAGTCCCCAGTACCCACATGGTGGCTTACATACCCAAACTGTAGCTCAAGTTCCAAGGGATCCTCCAATGCCCTTCTGTGGCCCCCCAGGACACCAGGCACACAAGTGGTACAGGCATACATACATACATGCGAAACATTAATACACTCACAAAATAATGGTGCTTTAATTCCCAGTGGTCTTACAGCTGAGGAGCCCCCATGGAACTGGATCAGGCTCTCTGGATAAGTGAGACAGTTGATTAGCTTGAACTTTTTGGGAGGCTCCCAGGCAGTGGACTGGGACTGTCCTTAGTGCATGAGCTGGCTTTTTGGAGCCTGGGGCCTATGCTGGGACACTTTGCTCAGTCTAGATGAAGGGAGGAGGGGACTGTACCAGCTTCGACTGAATCTATCAGGCTGAGCTGAATCCCCAGGGGAGTCCTTGCCCTGGAGGAGGTAGGAATGGAAGGTGGATTGGGGAAGGTGGGGGGGGGGAGGAGGAGGGAGGACAGGGGAATCCGTGGTTGATATGTAAAATTAAATTAATTATAAAATTTAAAAATGTATAAAATACCCAACTATCAAATTACTTCCACTTTCAGCCAAACTGATTTTCTTCTGCAGCACTGCTAATAAAATACTTGGCTATGATAACCTTAACTCTGAAAAAAAAAATAAGTAATTTAAAGAAAAAATATATTTGGAAGATACCATGGGGATATAAAGGTGTTACACAAATTGCGTGAAGCCGTGTACAAAGGGGTTTCACATGAACCCAGAGCTCTTACATATTCTGTAACCTCTTCAGATTCATAGCATTATGATCTGTCTTCTGACCTTCAAATACATGTTTTAAATAGCCTTCTGAAAAGCACAACATATAAATATTATGAATTACACTCAAGTTAAGCTGAATTCTGAATCCCTTAAGCTGTTCTGCCTCCTTGCTAACATTAAAACTGATACCATCATACATTCTGACAGGAGCTCCACCAAGTTAGTCTTAGTAGTGTTCTTCCTCTCTGTATCACTCTCCTGTCTCAGTCCTTCCATAATACACATCTTAGTCACAGCACACTGTTACCTTCTCACTGCCTGAACAAAATAGCAGGTAGAAACATATGCTCAAAGGGGATCCCTCTGTCCTTAGCATTTTAATTAGCCAGTCCATCAGTAGCATTTTGTATTAATGAGTTTGGCAATAACATGTTTACTTAATACTTCCCTACTACCCCTGGCTGCACAGCATCCTAGTGAAATGTTAATGGCCTGTGTTGATTATCATTTGGTACTTCCATGCTCCAAAGACCTAAAAGGAATCTTTTTCATTCTAGCTCTGATGTTGTCTAGTACAGCCATGTCCTCAAGCTCCTCAGCACTTCTCCGGCCACTGTAGCTTCTGAACTCAACATAGGGTACTACTAAAGAGCTTAGAAACCGATTAACATTTCATACAAAGCAAAAAATCTTAGGAGCAAGAAATCATTACTTGGATTCCATCTGTCACCTAGGGATTTAAATGGCAACATCTCACCCCCTACTGTTGTGTCAAACTTATATTCTATAACTCAGCACAGTGGCCAACCCAGGCCAAACTTAATTTCACAATTTTTAGTCATACAACTGTACACATTTATGTGGTATTAGAACCCAGGGGATTATTGAACTCAGCTTAACACTGGGAAATGGCCATGGGAGAGGAGTTAAGCTTATTTAGCTAAAAGAGTCTAGAAAGCATTTTCTACATATTACAAGTAAGGCTAATTTCTAAAGCATTATAGGTTAAAGGGGAATAAACAGTCCAAAAAACCCTCCGGTGTTACACTGCAGTACTGTAAATTAAGATACATTCTTCAACTTTGGACTGTCCTTTAGCAGTAATGTAGGAACAGAACGTTTTTTTTAACAACTGTATTGTCTTAATTTCAAATATATCGCCAGTGGGAATTTGGTATTTTATACCTACCAAATCTAGCTGGGGGAATGTATGAGATTATATGGTAAGGTAAGCTAAGACTACCTAGCTACTAAATCCATGCCTTAAAATTCTATCAAAATGCTAAGATTCATAACTTTTTCATAAGACATGTGTCCTGCTCAAGACAGAAGGCAGAAAATGAAACCCAACATGAAGACCTTCTTGCAGTAATATATTTATGTTGGTTGGTTTGTTGTGACTGAAAATGAAACTAAGCCATTTTCTGTGTTTTTGGCTCTTTGGGGGGGGAGGCACCCAGCTCCCAAATAAGTCAGACAAAGAGGCTTATTATTACTTATAAATGCCCAGCCTTAGCTTGTCTTAGTTTCTAGCCAGCTTTTCTTAACTTATCCCATCTATCTTTTGCCTCTGGGCTTTTCTCGTTCTCTTACTTCTGTAAATCTTAGTCTTACTCCATGGCTTGCTGTGTAGTTGGGTGGCTGGCCCCTTGAGTCTTCCCCTTCTCTGGCTCCTTCTCCATCTTCGATTCCTCTTCCCAGATTTCTCCTTCTAAATAGAAGCTAGCCCTGCCTATCCTTTCTCCTGCTTTGCTATTGGCCAGTTCTTTATTAGACTACCAGGTACTTTACACAGGTACAGTAACACAGGTTCACAGTTAAATAAATGCAACATAAACAAAAGTAAAACACCTTAAAATATTCTACTACAATTTACTAGCTGTATCATTTTAGAGCTAACATTTAAGTAATAATTACTAACTTATTAGCAGCTGGTGCTAATACCAAATGTCTGTTGTTCTGCATGAATATATTCTGAAGGTCAGAAACAAGACATGGCCACCCTAAGCTTAACTTAGATGTAGAACATAAACCATTGAGTTTCAGAAATGCTTGATTAAATATATAAGCATGAAAAGCTAGAAAAAAATGGTAACATGTTCTTTATATCTTAATAACTGATTTTCATTTATATCAGATAGTGTTTAAGTTAAAAACTGTGAAACAAGGTGATCCCAATAGCTTTTAACTGAACTAGATGGAATTAGCGGTCCTTTTAGTATCTAAGAAAACTATGCATAAACTGGACAATGTAGCCCACGTCTGTCATCCCATCAATGGGAAGGCTAAAGCTGGAGGATTGTCACAATTTTGAGGTCAATCTGGCCTATATGTTGTATCTTGGGCTAGCCAGGGCTCTACGGCAAGATGCTGTCTCAAAACACTAAAAACCAAAAAAAAAAAAAAAAGACAGGTCAAAGAATTTTGTCAAGATTACTAATGAGTAGTGGAACATGAAAGAGACAAGGCAACAGACTATACAGTCTACCTCTTTTCTACCAGTAGGTCAAAGACCCTAAAAGTAATATGCATTTCATAGTTTTCATTCTGTTGTCAATATAAATTGGAAGAAAAAGATAAACAGCCCTGCTGTCCATGAATCATTTATTAGGCTGGGTTTTCAGAACTTTTATAAAAGCATCTTTGGGAATTTCAATGTTGCCAATCTTCCTCAGCTTTTTTTTCCCTTCTGTCTGCCTCTTCAAAAGTTTCATTTTTCGGGTGATATCACCACCATACTGAAAAATAAGAAATCCAAATTGGTTCAAAGGAAATGATAACATAATTACACCAAGGAACACCAGAACCATAATCATACTATTGTGACCTCATTTGACCCCTCCTCAAAAATCTGTATCATTTATTTAAGGTAAGCATATTACATAGCTACAGCCTAATAAAGCAGAGACTCTCACAGGCAGACCTGTGTCAGAAACTTCACCAGACACTTATAAAAAGAAGGATTTGGTTTTCACAATAACAGATTTTTACTTTTAAAAAAGGCAATTCAAAAATCAATGTAGCAAGGCAGATTTCAATCCCTACTCTTCCAACAGTAAGAAAGAGTAACTATAAATCTTTCATTACATATAAACTTATGGTAGTAACATAAAATTCTCTTTTATGCGGTATTGCATAAGAAAAGAGAAAATGAGAAGCATTTTTAAATGTAGTTAAAATGATGCTAATATGGTTAAGCAGAAATTTACCATTTAAAATGAAACTTGGAAATGAAATACATGGTACATAAAAATTAAAATCAAAACAAATTTAGAACCCCATTGATTTTAAACTCATTAAAATAATAAAGTAGAAAAAAACATAGTTACATACACATTTTGCCAAAACATTTTTTCTATAGGCTTTCACACTGTAAAAGAAGAAATTTTTTTTAGGTTGAAAATTTATTATACAGTTTAAAAGTATTTGATTTCTATACACAATTCTTCTTTTAATAAAATAATGATAGTGTTCTTTAGACAAAACTGCTTTATGTAATTAATTAGTTCAAATGTTCTTATATTTATTTTTATATACTAATTTTAAGATGCAAAAAGTTCATTTTAATGTCACCATATACTTTGGTAAGAAAGATCCAGGTTTGTAGTCTGCATGAGAGAACTAGGAGCATTTGTGGCCTTAATAAAAGAATTACATTATTCCCAGCTCAGCCTAGAAATACTCTGAATAGCATCTTTTAAAAAAATGAAATCATCACATTGCTGACTTGACTGCAAATGGATAGTGACGAGTAAAGGTTTTATTAATAAATGTAGGTTTTATACAACCATTCAAGACAAATTGTTAATATATCCAACCATCAATTATACAAATGTATTATTATGACACTTTCAGATCAACACTAATTTTGAAAAGTATCACTTTTTCTTACTGTATTTTCAATTAAATTTATGTGAAAATGACCATGTGGTAACTGCTCTATTTTTCTAGGATGGTCCCTATAACTCTGCCTAATTTCTGGGTTTTCTTGGATAATGAATAACAGAAACAAAATAATGTTCAAAATGAAATTATTCTCCTAATGGGCACCCATTTTATATAATCGATATCAAAATGGTGGTTGTATTTCACCAGGACTAATGTATTAGGTTTAGGTTAAGCTAGAATTAAACAGCAATTCCCAATTAGTCATAACTGAAGAGGTACTTCTAACTTCCAGGGTCTTAAGATCCCTAAAGGCTGGACAAGGGGAAGTGTTGCCAGAGACTATACTTGCTGCTACAGGAGTCTAACTTCATCCACAAAGCTAGCTTCCTACAAAAAGTGACCTCTTTTCCATATCTACTATAAACCAATGAGGGACTTGATCTAGAAAACAAAACCCAATTTATGTTATTTATAATCTTTCCTGAATAAGTTCTTCAGAGAAAACATTTTACCATTACCTTAGATTCTGTTTCTGCCACTTATAATCTACCTGAACAAATTATCAACCATTGAATGAAACTGTACAGAAATCTCTTAATCCAGGAATTCAATTGAAATATGCAGAAATTCTTGAAATCTTCATAAATTATATCAGTTGTAAGTAGCATCACTCAATGTAAGTAATGCAAAGTCATGGGACGTCAGTGGAAGAGTCAGAACGCTCTATCATCTCATGCTGTACGAGACTGAACCTAGACCAAGACTAAAACTTTCGTCTTGTTTTCTGTGTATATTGTTTCTAAAGCCAGCCTCGGACAAAAATGAATCTCAACTCACGTTTCTCTTGCAATTACTTTGCTTCCAACAGCAGCTTGGATTGCTATCTCAAATAGCTGTCTGGGCAGAGAATCCTTTAGACGTTCACATATGGTTTTGCCAACAGTGTATGCTTTCTCTCTGAAGACAGAAAAAAATATAAATATCCTAAATATAAATATTTAAATTATCTTTATAGTTCATGTGCAGTAATTAACAGTAATAAAAGTAAAGTGAGTTTTAAGAGATTCAAATAGAACTCAACACTTTCTACTTATTAGGCATTCTTTTGTAACTAGATATTAATATATACTGTGACTTATAATTGCATTGATTGAAAAAAATAAAAAATTGCATTGATATGGAATAATTTCTAACAGTCTGCCACTTTGTGAACATGTATAGTTGACTTTTTATTATCATGAATGATTTTTAGAAATATGAAAATCTTTTTGTTCTCAATCCTAAAACCATTATTATAAAGTTAAAAAACATTTTCTTGTACATTAACACAGTAAGGGAAAAATTATTTCCTTTGGTTCTGATAATTCTATATTCTACATTTATTAGTAGGGAAAGAACAATGTAAAAATAGAAGGAAAAATTAGTAGACTAAAATATAATTTAATTATCTTCCAAAGCTTTACAAAATGTATCTGCTCCAACAAGAATGAAGAACCATCAATTACAGAAAAACACCCAAAAGTGATCATGTTCACAGTCAGTGATCTTTTTCTAGTCTACTTACCTATGTACCACAGTTACCAGCTCTTCCACAATATTTCCATTCAGCAGAATATCCATTTTTATAAGATCTGCAGCCTGGTAACCTGCATCTTCATAATCAAAACTAACAAGGAAAGAAAGAACAACGATAAACATGACACTCTCAGATTACACTCAATAAATTCCTTTTTCCTACAACGTTCATTTCCTACAACCTGCCCTCACCTGAAGAAAACCTGATTAAATTATTACCACACATAAAGTTTCATTTAATGGATGTCTATGTCGATAGTAAAGAACCAAATGTATCAACCTTCATTTATGAACTGAGGGCCCTAAGTACAGGAACTATAAATCCCTAGAGAAGGAAAAGGAATTGGTTAGGGTAATCCAGGAAAATCGACCACTGAAAACAAATGTCAGCTCCTTTCTAATTGCCAACAACTGATGGACTTTGGCTAACACTACTTCAATGCTTCAATGGGTCATTATTAGTTTTTTTTTTTTTTTTTTTTTGGTTTTTCGAGACAGGGTTTCTCTGTGTAGCTTTGCGCCTTTCCTGGAACTCACTTGGTAGCCCAGGCTGGCCTCGAACTCACCGAGATCCGCCTGGCTCTGCCTCCCAAGTGCTGGGATTAAAGGCGTGCGCCACCACCGCCCGGCCATTATTAGTTTTTTATTTATGGTAACATTGGTAACAGAAACAAAGAGAAACAAAAATCAAACAAACATATGTTTAGATAATGCACTAATGAACTGCCATTAAGAAAGGACATTTAGATTTCCTACACAGATATGCAGTTTGACCATTCAAAGTTTTTGTCAGGCCTGAAGGAGCTAATACATGTAATAGCATACATGGACCTAACACATACCAAGTAGTTCAAAAAAGCTTAGGTAATCGAAAACATGTGCTCATGCTAGCTACTACTTTCATCAATATGGTCCAAGCTCACAGTGCTAGTCAAAACGTTTAAGTCATAAAGCCAGAAGGCAATATAAACAGTTTCTTGCTCTTTTAACACTCAACTCTGGTACTTTTATTTGGCTGGGTTTCAAGTACTAACTTAAAACATACAGACTTTTATTAGATGGACAACATAGTCCTGAGAAGACCTAGTTCTTGACTACAGCATTGGTAAAAGCAGTGAATATTTAGCAATTTTCATACTCAATATTTACATCCAGTTTTCAAATATAAGTAGATACTCCAGGGTCCAAATAACATACATACGGTTATCACTCCATCACAGAAGGTTTTTGAAATTATGTCCAACTCTTAAGACACGAGGGATATAAAAATCTTAAGAAGCTGCTTACTTCTTCAGATTAAGTCTGATGAATCAAAAAGAAATTTTTCCTCCTATAAGGAAATGTCAAGTACTCTATAATATCTATAATGCTCCAAGCTACCTAACCTTATAGGATTCTCAACTGTCTTCAAGAGAGCAGACATTACTAAGGATAGAGAGTAAATCCTTACTCTCAGCATTTTCAAAAGCTTCACTGCGACATTTATGACTATTATTTTCTCACCTTGCATATCCAGAAGATAGAGACTTCAAAGAGTCATAAAAATCTACCACAATTTCATTCAAAGGGAAGAGATATTTAAGCATAACTCTATTTTCATCAATAAAAATCATATTTTTCTGAATTGCTCTTCGTGCCTAAAGAAAAAGAGTTCAAAGATAATTCACACAAATAATTGATGCAATAGGTATGTTTTTAATTTTCAAATTAAAATTTCTATAAACAAAAGTAAACAGAATAAAAGAGTATTATTTAATGGTCTACCAAAAATTTACAATCAAGAGTTTTTAATTCAGAAACAATATAACTTTTAAACCAAAGCCTTTAATCTCTATTATAGCAGTTTTATCTTCAAAATTATATTATATTCACTTTCAAATACACAAATAAACTAAATTATACTAGAAGTCCCTTTGGGATAAGTATGTTGCTTTTATTTTTATTCCGTGAAACAAGAAATACTTCTTTAATTTTATTGAAGCCAATTTCTCAGCAGAAGGATCCCATAAATACAAGCTTAGGTAAGCACTGCCCCAGAGGACTGGAACCTGCTTTGTGTTTCTACCTGGCAAAGCGCCATTACTTTCCCAGTGTATTCAGTTGGTGTGACAACAGTGCCCAAAACAACTGGTTCCAAATATTCTGTTACTTTTGACTTATCAGGGAATTGTGCAGGGTTGATGATTGTGATTTCTTTTTCTTTATATTCCTAAAAATGAGAAAAGGGAATGGTATTTAAAAACAAACACTAATACAATTATGTTTCTTAATGGTTTGCTTTTATCATTCAGTATATTTTAGAACATAGTTATTGAACTTACGACAATTAACAAAGCAGCAGCAGCAACAGTAACAACACACTTAAAGGTTAGACTATTATATAACACACACACAAAAAAATCTTCCAATTACTCCTTTTAACATTGGTAGGAATGTTAATTCTAAGTATATTAATATATTTTGGCTATTAAAATTTACATGCACACTTTATAAGCTATCTAGAAAAAGTAAGACAAAATGCTACATTTTAATTTGACTGTTTAGGGTATTATTATTATTAGTGTATAAAAGTGGTTTATCTGTGCTAAAGGTAGCAGTGGTTTAAATGTTGAGATTGCCACTTAAATAGAATACAGTATTGCTTCTAGCACTAACTTAAAAATATCCTACAAGAATGAAGGTTTTAGTTTTTTATAACATCAATTATTTATGATCAAAATCATCTTTTATAACTAAAACTTTTCTCTTGTATTTAGTATATACACGTGTACTTCTTTATTAAATTTTCCCTTTCAGGTGGATTCAAAATAGAAATAAATATTATGATACCTTTATCAATTTTGCAGATGAAAGAACAGCTTTGTATGGAACAGTAGGGGTTGTCAAAATAACAGAAGCATTATATTCTTGCTCTAGTCGCTGGTTGAAAACTTCCATGTGCAAAATTCCAAGAAATCCCAACCTGGAGAAAAGGGAGAAAAAAACACCAAAAACCCTCCAAATGTCCATTTCCACTGGGCTGTTGTCTGTTGTTGAACACATTGCTACCTTGTGGAAAAGGGTGGAAATCAAGACTCATTCCAGAAATTTTCATCTCTTGTATAATTTTATAAAATAAGACCCAGATCTTCTACTCTTTTAAATTAGTATAAAAATTATCCAGAAAACATGAACCCACTTGAGAAATAAGCAGACATTAAGAGTTTAGTTATTTTCCTCATCTAAACTGATCTTTAGGGCTTGGGAAGATGGCTGGCTGGGTACTGACTCACTGTGCAAACATAAGGACCCAACTTTGTAGCCCCAACATGCACATGAGAAAGGCACGAGCAGCAGAATGCACCTGTGACCCCAGTGCTGGGAGGAGACAGCAAAGTGCCAGGGTGACCTCCAGGGTTAGTGAGCTACACTGTCTCAAAAATAAAGGGAGCCTGAAGTTGATCTCAGATCCATGAGCATGAACATCATCTGGGCATGCACACTCCATATACATGTGCACACAAACACACAAAGAATGTAAAAAAAATTTAAACTGATCTTCAGAAATGTTCATGAGCAATGCATCCAATTAGAACTGATTTTCCTACAAAAATGTGACTCTAGGATGTGACTCTACCTTACCTCCAGCCAGCACCCAGGGCCAGACTACTGTCTCGATGCACTGTCACACTGGAGTCATTTAAGGTCAGTTTTTCTATAGCACTCCTCAGGTTATTATATTCAGATTGGTCTATAGGGTACATTCCTGGGGACACAAACACAACATGAAGTGCTGTCAAAATCAAAATTAACCAAATGGCATTTACATTACTTTTCTTTATTAAACTGATTGCAAGCTATCTTGGAAACCATTAGCTTTAATGAATATACAATTATGTTGACACTCCAAACAGTGGTTTTACGCTTTTGGAGAAATACAAAAAGAAGAAAAAATAGAAACAACCAAGGGAATTAATTGTCTACTCACAATTAGGTAAATTATGTTTATTTAAAAAACCCAAAGCACAAGATGGTCCACTACTGTGAGGAAAAATATTAGTAGGTGGGAAATAGCCCCAGAAATGAACACGACACTGGGCTTCATTTCTAGACTGGTTACTAAAACTAAATATAAATTTGGCTTTTAGAAACTTACTGCTTAAACTATGGGAGCTACTACGGATTCCTCGGATTCTCTTCATTTTTTGCTTATGCTACACTTTACAAATCTTCTGAAATCCAAGTGACTGACTGCCTAACAGAGCAGCAATAAACTTCGCGATCTCTGATGATAGAGGACCATGAGTAGAGACCAAGGTGAGAATAACCAGATGACCCTCAATTAGGTCTTCATTATCTAAACGTCTGCAACACTCACAGTAATACCTGTTCTGATATTACACATACTAGAGGCTATAATGCTGTCTACTGCATCCACAGGAGTACAGTCTAACTAAAGAGAACTTGTCTAAGAAGAGGGATTCATTAATTCTACTGAGAATTGTAATTAAACATCCTACTTAGAAAAAATAAAATAAAATATAATCCACTAACTTCTCAGAGAATCAAGAAGAAAATTCATGTTACTAAGATCTCTTACATACTCACTTATTTCTTAAGAAATCCAAAATGATCTCTCATATAAAAACATCACCATGTAAATGAAGCTGCAAATTTATAACTAGAAGTACCACATACATATACACAGGCAAATGAAATGTCATCATATATATATATATATATATATATATATATATATATATATATATATACACATCACCAACAAATCTATAAGAATGTTTATTATCTTCTAGTACATTTTTTTTCACCACAGAAACAGACTTTTAATTAAAAAATATTTTGGCCCTTTGGTGTTGAATTTGTGAGCTCCTCACCTGCAAATACCATTGGTTTCGCTGATTTAAACCCAGGCAAGGGCTCCACTGGATGATTATGTAAATATAATGTATCTCCTATTTGTGCTTCAGTGACATCTTTCATCCCAGCAATCAGAAAGCCCACCTGTCCTGCATATCTAAATAAAATTAGCATACGCAAATATTTACTGCTTTTCTGTTGTAAGCACATACTCACAGTACTGTCTTCCTAGGAATCTGTCACATACCTTCCAATCAAGTAAGTGCCACGCACTGATTTTCAACCTCTGAAGCTCATCAGGAAAACAACACTGTGTCTTATCCACTGTCCTAAATCTCTACACATGCCCAAACCTGTCTTTGTGATTCTGCCCACCTTTCACAAATCAAACACCAGATTCTAACATCTGTTTTAAAAATACTTCAGGAGCATATTATGTCTATTACTATTTTATAAAGGTTCATTAACAAGGGGAAAAAAGATAAATTTTAACCAAACAGAAAAAAGTAAACATTTAACAGTCTATTACATATCTGACTTTCCACATGAAGAGGAGATTCCAAGAATTCAGTTTTAGGTTAAAAAAAAAACATATATAGTAGCAAACTCATTTACATGTAGCAGAGGAGCCTCCAACGAAGAGGCAGTAATGTTCAATAAATATATTACATATATACAAATACTACAATACATATATTACAATACATGAACTTACTTCAAAAACACTTCACTAAAACTAAAATGGACTGATTTGAAATGTGTCATGATTCACACGAGGATTTTTAGATACAACATGAAACTGTGGAGTATGATCCATGGACTCAAATATGCAACACTTTAATCTTCAGAGACAACAGGAAAGCAAAATTACGTGCCCAATGTCATGTCTTCCTGTTATCAGAGAAGTCATTCAGCAGCCCTTTCAGAGCTAACTCAGATTTGATTTTCTAGCGCATGCTAATTTCTTAATCCCACTCCTCTATAAATTTTAATTAATCTAGGTTTAATCCTGAATTCCACAGTGAACAAAGGAGTGGTCAGTTTCTGCAGCACCTTATATTGCAAAATTTGGTTGTGATGAGATGAAATGCAAAATGAAAAATAAATCTATCAAATGAGTTGAGGTGCCCTAATATTCAATTGTTCCATCAAATGCATTAACATTTGATTATATTAGAACTAACATAGGATTACACTAGATCACTAAGTTTTTTCTATTAATTAATAAAATCAAATAATTTTCACACCCATAAAACTGCCTACTACATACACATGAGATCTTTTTTTTTTTTTTTTTTTTTTGGTTTTTCACGACCAAGTGTCTGGATGTATAGTGGCACTATATATATATATATCATCTGTTTTAACTCTACATCATGAACATTCTGAGCACATTGGGAGAAACACATCCATAAACGTAAAACAGATTACTTACAATTTATGAGTTGGCTGCTCATTAGGATTCAAAATGCCTACTTCATTAACTTCATATGTCTTCTTAGTGTGTGCGGATACAATTTTATCTCCTTTGGAAACCACTCCATCAAACAGTGCTATGTTGGCTACCACACCTCTATACTGGTCAAAGGTGGAATCAAATACCAATGCTTTCAGTGGGTTTTCACGATGTACTTTTGGACTATTATAAAAGATAAATTTAAGTATATATAAGAAAATGTCAGAATAAGAAAAAAAAGAAAGAAAAGAAAATGCCTATTTTCAACTTAGGAAATATGCTAATTTATTTTAATTTTGCAAAAGATAATTACTCAAAGGCCAAAGCAAAATGGCCTTTCTATAAGATGTGTTTGATTTAATCAATTTTAAATTTTGGAATTATTATTTCAAAATAATACATAATTTTTGAGATATATTCAAAAACATGTATTTGAAAATATTATGGCTGTATGCTCATTATATAGCAAAGACCAATTGCCAACTTACTTAAGTCCCTATATTACGATTATCAGAGATTGCCATTATCCTTGCTTTATTTTCTGTTTTACTATATTGAAATTGCCTTCGTTACATTACTAAAAGCAAAAATGTATTCTACCGTACTGCGAGATCACTTGCCATATTCATTAGTTTAAAATGACAGATCAAGTTGATGGCCTATTAATCTAAACTATTAAATTACAAACATCTACAAGTTATTAAATTCTAAACTCTTAAACCTGAGTGAATAGTCTAACAACAAACCACTTACGGAGGTATTCTTTCAATGACTGCCTGAAGAACACTTTCAACATTCGTCCCAAGTTTCGCAGAAATCTGAAACCATGGAGAAAGAAAAGCACTGAGATTGAAGGCTGCACCGTCCTTCCTGGGGCCTCATCATTTGATCAGGAGGAAGAATTCTCTTCCTCATTTGTTTGAACCCAGAACAAGGGGAAGAATAAGGATTTCTTCTCATTATTCAGTGTTAGTGACCCTATGGTTTCAGGATTAAAGTATAAGAACATTCTTAGTGTGTTCACAAAGCAATGGAATGAGAAAACAAAAATTTTGATGAGTAAAAATGATGACTTTTAATGAAATGCATCACTTTAACCAATACCTATCAAGTCCCCAAATACCTGCTTTTCAAAAACAAAATTACCACACATACAAAATAACTTCTAAGAAGTAATGCTTAGGACAGGAGAGATGGCTCAGATGTTGAGAACACTTGCTGCCTCATAGAGTACACCAGGGTTCCTTTCCAGCACCCACAGTAGGGGGCTCACACATCCTGTAACTCCAGTTACAGAGGATCCAACTCCCACTGCTGACTTCCTTGGGCATCTGCACCACATGGTACAGTCTTGTGCTGGCACACACATGTACACATAGTTTCAAAAGACTTTGTTTCAAAACATTAGTCCTGACATACAGGCTAACTAAATCTGTGATCTTAGGAGAGTGTTGTAGAATATTATTTTAAGAAGTGTTACATTTGTTTATGCTATGGAACATTAATGATGCAAAGATGCGTTGTATTCTTTTTTGTTGCATTTGTTTAACTCTGTGAAGCTGTGTTACTTTGCCTGTGTAAAACACATGAAGGTCTAATAAAGAGCTGAATGGCCAATAGCAAGGCGGGAGAAAGGGTAGGCAGGGCTGGCAGGCAGAGAGAATAAATAGTAGGAGAAATCTGGGAGGAAAAGAAGGAGCAAGAAAAAAAGAAGAGGACACTTGAGGCCAGCCACACAGCCAGCCACAGAGTAAGAGTGAAAGTAAGATACACAGAAGTTAAAAAAAGGAAAATGCTCAAACATAAAGGGTAGATGGGATCATTTAAAGTTAAGAAAAGCTGGCAAGAAACAAGGCAAACTAAGGACAGCCATAAAAAAGAACTAAGTCTCCATGTATATTGGGTGGTGGGCCCCCAAAAGACCAAAGATCAAAGAGCAAAAGAGTTAAAATAAAAAAATTAAAAAAACCCCAAAAACATTTTAGTGCTTCAACTTCCAACATGGGGCTGTAGAAAGCTGAACAACAGAAGAGTGATAAAATCTTTAAGCCTTAGTTCATTTAAAAATAACACAGCAACAATCTATACATTCTCACAATATAAAAGGAGTTTTCTCACCTGAATCTAATGAAATGATAATAAAAGAACACTCTAAAACTACAAAAAAAAAAGTGATGAGTCCAAGTGCAAGGTAATCAAACATCAATAAATTTCAGTTAGGTCAATCAACTGAGATTTTCCTAAGAATAATCAACAGTTGTACTGGTTAGTTCTATGAACTGAGAAAATGTCTTTATAAGATCAGGCTGTAGGCAAGCCTTAGGGTATTTTCTTTATTAGTGATTGATGTGGGAGGGCCCAGTTCATTGAGGGTGGTGCCAACCCTGGACTGGTGGTCCTGGGTTCTATAAGAAAGCAGACTGAGTGAACCACAGAAAGGAAGCCAGTGAGCAGCACCCCTCCATGGCCTCTGCACCAGCTCTTGCCTTCAGGTTTCTGCCCTGATTTCCTTCAATGATGGCCTACAATGTGAAAGTATAAGCCAAATAAACCCTTTCCTCCCCAAGTTGTTTTGGTCATGGTGTTTCATCACAACAATAGAATTAACTAAGACAATCATCTTTTAAAAAAAGGCATTTACCTTAATACATTCATCACTAGGGATATCAAACACTTTTTCAATCTGTTTTTCAACCCTTTCAGGATCAGCATTCTTCAGATCTATCTGTAAACAAAATTACTAAGTGAGCATAGTAAAAATAAAATTAGTCCATAGAAATAATATTTGGAGAGCAATAAAACCTTCTGTGAGTTAACCTAACTGACCTCTCCATGACTTTTCAAAAGAATATTTAAAATAATCTATATATTTCCAATGTGATTTTAACAAGCAAAACTACTAAAAAGAAAATTCAAGCAACAAATAGATAAAAAATGTAAGCAGGGCAAAGTCTATCAATTAACACCATGAGAACAGATTTTTAAAGTGAAGTCAGATTCAAACTATTTTACCTATGGGCAGGCTCATTTTACATTTAGCACCAATATCAAGAAATGTAGCTTAATGCAGTTTGAACTTTTCAATTAGGATTCTTAACTCTGCAGTACTGGATGGATTTATACGGATGAAGTTAGCACTGAGCTGTTTCATGGACTGCACTGATTCTTAGCTCTAAGCCCCTCTCCATGGCAGTGGGGCTGGCAGGTTTACTTTATCTGCCTTGCACCTCTTTCCTACAGACACAGCCTTTTCTCAGCACATGCAATTCAGACAAATCTTTTCAACTCTCTGAAAGGAATATTTGATCTGCAATTCTATCACAAGAAATTCAGAGGTAAATCCCACTGACAATCTAAATGAATAGTAGCTACAGATCTCTCATATTATGGGAAAAAAGAAAACATACTTCACAATTAAACACTAGATACATTTAGAAGGTAAAATAATTAATGGCATTGGTGTCTCACTTTAATTACCTTGTTTATAACTGGAATTACTGTCAACTGTGCTTCAAAGGCAAGAAAGAAATTTGCTACAGTCTGAGCTTGAATACCCTGGAAGCAAGACAAGAGAGACCGAGATGACTGCTTTGACACTAAATGTACCACAAAACTAGTAATTCCATACCATTCCCTGTATCATCATCCAAGTGAGATTTTTAGATCATGCTAATAAAATGACACAATCGGCCATCTGGAACACGGCCAAAATGACACATGATGAACAATGCCTTGCGGAACCGTGGGGGTGGCTGCAGGAAATAGGCAGAGGGCCATTACCACAAGTGTATTTTGTTTCCTGGACTGTTCTTGGATGTGATTTTGTGCCTCCTGTATTAAACATTTGCATTCAATTCATAAGACGTGTTTATTCTTGTTGGAGTGGAAATGGGGCACGGTTATGTGTTTTTAATGACTCTGTTTTGCTGATTTCTGTGGCATATTTTCTGGAACAGGTGTTCCTTGCCACCTGTCACCTTTCTTCGTGCAACTTGCTACAAAAGGAGCTAGTCCTCCAGAACAACTTTAGTCGGAAGTTTCAGCTGTCTGCCCCTTTCATTTCAGTGCCGGCTCTCAAAGACACATCTGCAAGGTGGACAAAGACTGACACCGACACCCAGCCAGAGCCAGGATCGTGCCCTGAGACCTAAGGCCCTTTGCTCTTCCTCACTTGTGTTTCCCAAATAGTAGCGTTGGCCCCCCAGCACCACCTGCAAGCATTACTACTGCGTTATATAATAATAATGAACCATGGACTCCAATTTTCAAAACTGTGGGCCAAAATAAACTTGCCGTTACAGTCATTTCACATATTTCTATATAGCGAGAGAAATCTGAATTGCACCACGTCCGACTTTTCTGCACCATTTATGCTTCAGGGTTCAAAACCAAGATTACACTATTACCAAGAAATAGATTAAACAGGGTGAGTCAGCACCTCAATTTAGCAATATTAAAGTATACGATTTAGAAAAAGCAGTATAACAAACCTGTTGCTCAAATGCAGAAGTTCTATTTCCAAAATGCATTTTTACGGAGAGCTTTACAAAACACCCAACAGGTCATGTCACATCATGTATGATGAAAGGTCTTACCTCATTTGCATCGACCACCAATAAGACTCCTTGGCAGGCCGACAGTGACCTGGACACTTCATAACTAAAATCAACATGGCCCTGAAAAGCAAAATAGTGGTGCCTTTAACTATCAGCTATAATTTTTAAAGGAACAGATATTATTATTGCTAATCTACTGCTAAGACAAAAACTTGCAAAATATGGGGGAGGGGGTTTTGAAAACATTTGAAAAAAGTTACACTAACGTCAAAAAATGAGAAAACAAACACCAAAGGTAGATGTACAAAATCCAAGCCCCAAATGAAAGAATTTCATTTGCAATGTCAACAAGACTAACTGTGGCCATCTTTGCAAAGCCAACATGAAACTTACCGGTGTGTCAATGAGATTTAACAGGTACTGCTTTCCTTCAAAACTGTAAAACAGAGTTGCCGTCTGTGCTTTCACGGTGATGCCTCTTTCCCGTTCCACTTGTAATTTATCAAGAACCTGCTTATTTTTCTGTGTCTTATCAATTGTTCCTAGAAATAGAAGACACATTTATTGATTTCCCTGGGCTTTAAAACAAGACCAAACAAAAAAAATCAAACATAATTATCAGAGAACATTAGAGATACAATACCAAAATGTAAGATACCGAGGTAAAACTAAATTCCCAATTACTCTAGGCAGTCACAAGCTTATGATATAAAAATGAAAATACCTGTTAGTTCTAGGAGCCTGTCAGCTAGAGTACTTTTGCCATGATCCACATGTGCAATGATACTGAAATTTCGAGTATCTTCAACAGGAAATCTAGACATGTCAGGTTTCTCCTAAAATAGGGAGGGAATAGAACATTTTGGGGGATTAACATTTGCATAAAACAATTTACAAATTCAAAGAAAAATCTTTCGATCTATGGAGAATTTCACTTACTGCAGTTATCTGACCTCAATTTTTACCAAAATAAAGATACATGACTAAGCCTAACTACAAAGAACAAATTACAAGAGACTTACTGTGTCAGTTTCATAAACAAAGCTAAATAAAACCCCCTTACTTAATACTTCATCAGGCATTGGGCCAATCGCAAATTTACTTCCAGTAATGGAGAATGCAAGACAGAACTCAAGAGTATGAGAACGCCTTATCAAGCAAAAAGCTCTTAGAAAATCTTTTAACGTAGTGAGACACGCAGCAAACTGCTGAAAATTGGAGTCCAAGAGAAACAGTCAGGGGAGTGTGTGTACTCGCTGGGCATTTTCCCCCAGCCGGTATTTCATCACCAGGAAACAAGATGAAATTGTAATGACTATAACATTTATTTTGGCTTTCTTTTAGTTACTCAATATAAGGCAGATTATGGTATAAGTGAATTCTTCAAACAAAACTGTAATAGCTGCATTGTGGTGTCTTCTTTTCCCATCGCATTCAGGTCAAAGTTATGCAGAAGCGCATCACTTTCAAAATACCCTGAACCGCGACGAATACAAATCCATTTTTTCTAACCATAAGCTGCTGGAGCCACATCCTTGCACGGGGCCAAAAAGTCCCCTGCCTGGGCGTCCCGCAGACCTCCAAGTCTGATTATTATCTCACTCAATTAGGAAGCTGCAAGATCGGATGCAAGTCAAGCAAGTTGCCCGAGAAAAACTAACAAAAATCAGGAACACCGTTGCTGGAGAGGTGCAGCTTCTCGGAAGGTTTTCAGAAGTAACGCATGCTCCAGACCATCCCTACCCCTAAGCCAGGCGAGCGAGCAGCCAGGGTGGAAGGGCTCGCCCGCCCGCCCTCCGTGCACACGCGGAAGCCCCAGCGCCTTCCCCGGGGTGAGCCGGTCACCTTGAGCTCGGCGGTGCTGACGGGCCGGCGGGTGGCCCGGGGCTCCACGGCAGCCGCGTGCCGGGAGCAGGGAGG